GGTCCTATAGGATCACTACTCATATATATATATATATAAATCTTTCCAACTCCTGTAGGCGAAAATAAACAGTGATTTCACTTACTTTCATCACCGTCTAAAGTTTATCGCACGGTCACGATTGTCTGGTAGTATTTCATTTTTCATTTTTTTTCTACAAATCGAAATGACATGAAATCACTGTTCATTTTTGCTTATATGAACATATGAATCCAACGGCCCAGATTGAATCTGAGCCAATGTAACGATCACAGATGTTTGGTAGTGCTTGAATTTTATTTTTTTTTCTACAGATCCAAATCACTTCAAATTTTAGGTGTATTTTCTTCTCATCAAGTTATTCGTGAAAAACAAGATGACCAAAATACCCCTCAAAATTTTTGGGGGTATTTTGGTCAATTTATTTAATGTAAAATAATTTTTTGATATTTTTCGAAGATTCATATATTTTTTATAAACACACGCTTAAAGTTTCAAGTGATTTGAATTTATAAAAAATAAATAAAATTCAAACACTACCAGACATTCGTGATCGTCAAATCAGCCCAAATTCAATCTGAACCGTTGGGCTCATATGTTCATATGAGCTGGTGGGCTAATCTCAACTTTTCCTATATATATATATATATATATAGCAATGATCCAATGCAACAGTTGTATCATAGTATAATGCAACGATACTTCTAGAAAACCATGTTTGTGGTATTTGTATGACCCCAATTTTTGCACACACGCTCTCTTCATCTCAATAATCAATCTTCTAAAAAAAAAAAGTTCAATTTGAACTCTAGATATGATCAAAATGAGTCCATTCCAAAAACAAATCTAGACCATTCATTTTGTGAATTTCAATATCTTAGCTTTTATAAACTCAAAAGTATTTTTTTTCTTTTTCAACATTGTTCATCTAATGATAATAAAGCCATCCAAAAAAAATTGGAAATAAAAAAATCCTTCTAAGGCCTAGACCTAAGCATCTTACCAAAATAAACGGCCTATGTTAATTGGGCTAAAATAATGCTTTCTAGGTTGTGTTTTCAAATTTTTTTTTTTTTTGAGATTGTTTATTAAAATGAAAAGAGTGTATATTTCAAATTTTGGATCAGACAAATGGCCATAAAATGGATTTTTAAGGTTGTTGTATCATATTACTATACAAAGGTTGCATGAAGGTTTGTCTAGAGTTACTAACCTCTCAATATACAAAAGTTCAAGTTAGAAGGGGTTGTGATTGATGTATTTATCAAAATAATCATTACTTTTTAATAAAAAATTATTTAAATAGGTAACTTTACCATTAAGCAACGACAAATTTGAAATTTTCACAAAAGTACAATGGTATTTTAGAAGTTAGTGTCTTGAAACTTTATTTAAATAGTGACATTATCCTTCAGTTAAAATTTCAATTTTACCTCTTATGGAGATGACAAAAATACCCTTTGTCTTGTAGTAATATTTACAAATTTACCCCACAAAAGTGTGAAGTTTAGAATATCATATATATATATATATATATATATATGTGTGTGTGTATGTGTGTGTGTGTGTGTGTGTGTGTGTGTGTGTGTGGAAAACACTACGCAATGCTTCTAAGCGAAAATGAACAGTCATTTCATCTATGCTATTCACTATCCAAAATTCATCGTACGGTCATAGTTGTCCGGTAGTATTTCAATTTTCATTTTTTTACAAATCGAAATGATTTGAAATTTGTAGCGTATGTTTATATGGGGGTATTTTTATCAACTTATATTTATTGAAATATTTGTTTCATATTTTTATTAGGTGCACCTCACTAAGATGCGCACGCTCCAAATTTCAGATCATTTATAAAATAAAAAATAAAAATGAAACGCTACTAGACAATCATGATCGTACAATGAAGTTTGGACTGTGATGAGCATAGACGAAATCACTGTTTATTTTTACCTATAGATGTT